TTATTTTTAATCCCATAAGATTCCATCATTAAAATATATTTTAATATGAACATAATTATCCATACGCAATATGTCAAGCTACTTAAATCAAGTAGTTAAAAGGGGTTCTTACTGCAAAATCTTCCCTCCACTGGTGAGCTGCTTGAACTTTCTCTGCTTCCAATGCCAGGCGCTGAAAAGCAAACAATAAATCTTAGAATTCAAATGACCACAAAATATAGAATTGTTATATAAAATGCTTGGGCTTTCTAATCAATTATGAGGACATAAAAAGCAGAAGATGATCATTATTTATGATTCATAAATTCTAAATCATTTAGTAATCTAACCTACTAAAGTTGATGTATGTATATTTACTCTTTAGCAATATAAATAATAAACTATTCTTGAATACCATTGAGTTTGTTACCTCTGCCATCATCAGCTATAGTGTCCTCTATGAGTGCTTTCTTTCAATGACTAATACTTCAATTTTTAGAAAAAAACTTGAGTATATTAATTTTCATCTTATTTTTAGTAAATACCTTTAGAGCATACATTTCTCTAAAAAAAAGACATTGAGAGATTAATATGCATTAATATACTAGGCACCTTCTTAATTGCATATTGCGTTTTTGCCAAAAGCCGCAAAAGCTGAAATAACTTCCCCTTTGCTGAGGCACATCTTTAGTAGTTCTTTCAGTGATAATCTTTGATAGAGGATTTGTGCATCTGAAAATTGCTTGATTTCACCTTCAATTGTGTATGCTAAGGTAGTTAAGAATTATAAGCCAATTTATTTTCCTGTAGCACTTTTGAAATGCTATTCCCTTAAGTTCAGTGGGAGATGACAGTACTAGTGTCAGCCTGCTAATTACTTTTTATAAACATTTTTCCCCTACTCCAGTACCTTTTAGATTTTTCTCTTTGTATTTTTCAACTTCACTATGATGTTCTCCATGTGATAGGCTTTCATAAGACAGTGCTGTTTAATGGTTAGCAACACAGAGTTGGGGACCTGGCTGTCTGGATTTGAATACCAGCCCTTGCAAACTACTAGCTGTGCAACCTTGGGAAAAATTAAGACTCTTCTCCCATTATCTCATGTGAATAACGTAAAAGCCTGCCTCATGGCTTATTGGAAAGACTAAATGAGTTATAAAGTGTTTAGAACAGTGCTTGGCACACAGTAAACAATATATATATATGTCAGCTATCAACTTCAAAGAGTAATGGTTCTATTTTCTCCCTGGATCCCCTTTAAAACAATAGTGCAGTGTTGAGTTTATTTGTGGTTTGCCTTATGCAGCCAGAAGATAGTGATAAAACTGAGCAAACAGAAAAGTAAATAAAATAAATATACTAAACTTACTTATTAAGGTATAGAAATTATCAGGTTAGGTTTAAAAAATTACAAATCTCAGAGTCACTTATTGATTCATGCTGTTTGTGATCTACGAACTATTCCTCAGTATAAGTTCTTCCTGTGGAAGTCCAGTCTACACTGGATAAACATCTTTTAGATCAGTTTTTATGTTAATGTATTGGCTTCCATCCCTGTGATTTGTTATAATCTATTCATTTTTCTAAGCTGTTACATAGGTTTTATCAGTGACTCTGTAATATCGCCTAGCGGGAGATCTCAATTTAAGAGTTCCAAAGCTAAATTTAAGTGAAAATGTACCATAGCGTGCTAAAAGGACAATGGTTTTGGTTTTCACTACTAGGCAGAAATGGAATATATAAGGAGCTGGGAAGTGTTAGAAACTGTACCACGTAGAGTAACCAAAAGGCGGCTCCCTCTCCCTACAAAAACAAAAACTAAACTGCAAAGCCAACAGACGAGCATATACATTTCAGAAACACTGCATCATAACACTTTTGGAAACTCAACTTCAAATGAAAAATGAAGCAAAAAATGAATAAAACGGCAAACAGAATGGAAATGGAAGCAACTCTTTTATAGAAACACTTCAGTATGGGAAGATAAAGAGAAGACAGAATGAGAAAATAAGCAGGAAGGCTTTTTCTTTTTTTCTTTGTTTTGATACAGGGTCTCACTCTGTCTGCCAGCCTGGAATACAGTAGTATGATCATAGCTCACTGCAGGCCTGCAGCCTTGAC